GAGGGGGGGGGGTAGGGGGAGGTGGTGGTGGTGGCCTACAGTGGGGAAGCAGGAGAGAGATTGCAGGCCAGTAAGCTCTGCTTTGGGCATATTTCAGGGACACCCCACGCTCTCCTGCCTGGGGAATTCAGCCTGCAAATATTCCGACCCTGGTATTGTTCTTCAGAAAGACCTACCCGTTCTTCTTGTAGAGGAGAAAACGATTTAGCTCTACCTCAGCCTCTGGAAGACGGATTTAGACGAGGGAGGAGCTGAGACAGCAAGGCCCAGCCTAATTTAGACCGGCAGCAGTTCATGATCCTTTTCCTGCCCTAACACCAGACAGATGGCGTCCTGCAGAGCCACTGCCCTGGGCACAGCCTGGATTATATGCGACTCCCAGGGTTCCCACCATGACCCACCTGGAAGGAAGCATATCTGAACGCAAGTGTTTGAGGGTGAAAAGCTGTCTCTCTCTCATTCAGAGTTTCACCAGTGGGCCACAGACATTTTTTAAACATGCACCACTTGACTATTTGGTCAGGGGCACTGACCTCCTTTCCCTTAGATTGTCAAATTTAAAAATGACAACACAGAACAATAGCCATCGGTGTGACCGAATCAAAAGTATACCTACTTTTTTGTCAGATTGGCAAAAAATATATTTTTTGGGTGTGCTGCAGAATTATAGTGATCCATTTATGTGCCATGAGATGAAAAAGGTTGAAAACTGCCGCTCCAATTTATTGACGTGTAAGTCACTGAATCCTTAAACTCCATCCAGTACTTTAGTACTGAAAACGTGTTTACAATACTCCTCCCTTCTTCTCACCGAGACAGGTTGATAACCTTGACCTTGAGTGTGGAGCCTCCCCTTGGAGACATTTTTTCTTGGGAAACTGGGGCGGGCAGGATGCCCACCAGCTTCCTCACTCTGGCAGGCCTGTTGGTCCCAATGCAGCGGGGCGGGAGTGTGTGTGTACGTGTGGCAATTTGACACACAACTGTCTTCCCCCTGGCAGGGCTACCAAGAGGGTGGCCCCGCTGGCACTGCAGGGCCTGGGAGGGACCAGCTGCAGGCAGGAAAGGAAACAGCATGCGGGTGAAGGCCAGGCTAGGAGGTGGCTGCCAGTGGCCAGCAGAGCTGGAGATGTGTTCTTGCCGGCAGTCACTTCCTCAGGGGTACCATGCGAGGTGCAGGGGAAGGCAGCTGCTAGAGACCTGGCTTTGTAAGGACAAGAGTAGTGAAGAGACGGGGTGGCTGACCCCGTGGCTTGTGGCCCTTTAGGGATGCTCTATACAGCAAGGCTGGGCTCATCTACGCCAACCTCTTGGTGCTCTCTTGACTTCCTGGAGTCACAGGCTGAGTTCCAGGGGTTGTCCAGCCACAGTGAGGCTGGGAAACCCAGGAGCTCGGATGAGGTGCCAACCCCCAATGTGCCATAGTTACCCTCTCTAGAGGCAAAACCCCTCCTGTCCCAGGGATATTCTTGGTTCAGCGGAGTACCGGGGAGATTTCTTACACAAACACAGGGTCTAAGACTCGGGACAAAATAAGATTTCTCATCCAGTACCCAAGGCTTAAAGCTACAGAGAAAATTAGAGTTAAGTCACCTTCCACAAGAGACTTCTCTGGGCTGGGTGCTGGCCTCTGCCCCAGGCCTTGCAGTCTGGTTTATTGTTTCGTTTGCCTTCTGAGAAGACCTGTCTTGGGTTGGGGAAGAATATGAGGACAAGAGGGTCAGTATTTCTTTCCTTGTTTCTCTCCAAAGTGCCTGCTTACTTGGGAAGGGGATTTTCCAGGCTGCAAGTTCTCTGAACTGTTTTTTTTGGGGGCGGGGGGGTGGTCCTGGGCAGAGATTGGATTACAATCTGGAAGAATGGCCTTATTTACTAAGTTCCCAACCTGCCACAGGCCTAGGTCAACTTCACAACAGCTAGAGTTCACTGATGTTTCCTTCCAACATGGATTACAAAAGAAAAGGTTCTGCTTTAGTGCAATTTTCCTCCAGAGAACCAGGGAGGGTGGGAGAGGAGGTGACCTATCCTGGCCCCAGGGCTGTGGAATCTCCTGACTTTGAGGTCAAGGCAGACACTGAGTCTGACCTGAGCAGCACATCACACTTTTCAGAATTGTGTCTCTTGAGTCCTTTCAGGGCATAGTGTGCCTGCAGGCAAAGGGGCGAGGCTGCGGTTCTACTGGACGAGCTGCCATACCTGCCACACTACACAGAGGAGCAAAGAAGAGAGGGTGGAAAGAGGAGCCATTGAAAACAAGAGCTAATGGCCAGTCTTTAGGGGCAGCTGCAGCCCTGCCCCAATGACGGGGATTTTCTGGTTCCCAACCAGAATTCACCCTTCAAAAACCACGTTAGCAAAGTGCTTCTTTAAGTGACACCACAAATCCCCTCCCTCGGCATGACCAGCCTGGGGCCTGGCGGTCTCAGTGGGCCCCTCTGCCCTCCCCACCATGTGCAATATGTGGGGGACAGGAGGGAGGCAGCTGACGGGCATGCACACGGTGGAGTCTCGAGACCCAGGACAAGCACAGCCACATGTACCAGAATGACGGTGCTGTCACAGCTGTGGCTGCAGCCAGGTGCCAAGGGACAAGTACAAAGTGCTGGAACGCAGGGCCGGGGGCCGAGCCCTAAGGGATCTGAAAGACGTTCAGCTTGCTGGTGTTCTTGAGCGTCTGGCGCCGATTGCAGAACCAGACCCGTACGACCTCCCGGTCGTAATTGAGCTCCTTGGCAATCTCGGTGATCTCCTGGCCAGTGGGCAGTGGGTTCTTCTCAAAGTAGGCGTTGAGAGCCACGATGGCCTGGGGGGTGAAGGAGGTGCGGCGTTTGCGTTTCTTGGAGGGCTCCCCTCCCACAAACTCCATCAGGTTCTGCTGGCCTTCCTGGTTCCGGAGTTCGGCTTCATTCAGCCACTTCTCCAGCACCGGCTTCAGCTTCTGGGCGCTCTTTGGGGTGATGTCCAGCTTCTCGAACCTGTAGGTGACCCAAGCCCAGGAAGGGACAGTGAGTGTCTTACTCCCCACACCTGGGTGTGAGCACTCTGCTCCTCACCACCCCCACCAAGACCCCTCTGGTTTGGTGAAACCCAGACTTCTCGGACTGTCCTGTATCCCAGACCATAACAGAGGGACCATCCCATGGCCTTCGTTCAGTAGTGCAGTGATAACAGTGCAACTGCTGCCTGGACAACCATTCCAGAACTTTCACCACCAGATAAGTGAGGTCCTTTGAGGTGCTATCTTGAGAGGTCTCCCGACAGGGCAGTGGACGTCATGAGCCCTGCCCTCCTCTAGTTACCCTCTCCTAGCAGCATCACTAAGTCAGAGCCCGATGTGACTGCAGACTTCCCAACACAGCAGTGAGTCTAAAGTCTCTCTAGTCTGCATATGGAATTGGAAGGCAGATGGAACCTTGTGGCCATACTGAGCCTCATTCTTGTTGGAAACCCTCTACTACCCCTCCTATGATACTGGCACCAGAACCAGCTTAGACGCTGCACACAGAAGCCAGCCACACCACTTTAGGGTCATGCCTTATGAAACGGGGAGATGAGAGCATGACAGGGTGGTGGTGGGATAGAGTTGAGAGCTAAGCCAGAACTGAAGTTCCCACCTTTGTGACTAATTTCATAAGCTGTACTCCTTTCCCTCTAGGATTCCTAATGGATTAGGGTCTTGGGTTCCCAGAAAAAGACTATCTGCTTGCCCTAATTGGTTTGGCTCAGTGGATAGAGCATTGGCCTGCAGACTGAAGGGTCCCAGGTTTGATTCCAGTCAAAGGCATGTGCCCGGGTAGCAGGCTCGATCCCAAGTAGAGGGCGTGCAGAAGGCAGCCGATCAATGATTCTCTCTCATCATTGATGTTTCTGTCTCTCTCTCCCTCCCTCTCCCTTCCTCTCTGAAATATATATATATGAAGACTATGTGCTCAGGATTGGAGGATAAACATCAGAGGACCTGGTCAGTCTTTGGCTACTACAGGTATTCATATCTTATCCTTAAAGCAGCCTTCCTTATTTGGAAGAAGGCAGGAGCAAGGGGGAATAAAGGGGGCACCAGGTCCTGTGAATACCTGGCGGCAGCAGGCCCCTGAGCAGGCCCTGACCTTGCCCAGGGAGCCTTACTCACCGGCAGATGGCAGACTGGCTGTAGGCCGGGCCTTCCGTTGCAGTCAGAGCCTGGCCCACCTGGGTCTGTGTGAGGCCCAGAGACAGCCGCCGGATCTTAAAGTTCTTGGCAAACTCCCGGATCTCTTCTAAGTTGATCCCGTCCTCATCCAGACTTGGGTTATGTGGCTCTAGGCCAGAGAAGAGAGCAGGGGTGAGTGCAGAGGATACATAATCATCACTGCTGATCTAGCTTATTGGCCTGGCCTGGCCTGGTGCAGAGGGATGAGGACATTTGGCAAAAGGCCCACATACCCTTAAGACCCTCATTTACTTTGTCACCAAGACAAGTAATGGAGGAAAGGGCGGGGTCTAAATAAATGCCTTTCCCGTTCTCCACAACCTCCTTCAGGGGCCACTTACTGGACACCAACTGGCTGACAGTGGGCGTCTCTGAGCAGGTAATTGGGATGGGAGCAGAGGCCGATGGTTTGGCCGCTGGGCCTGGGCTGGCGATGACCACTGTAGGCGGGGGCATGGCTGGCGTAGGCTGGATGGGCTGCACCTATGAGAAGAGAGCCAACAATCCCTTATTGCCTACCTGCCCAGCTCAGGGGGTCGGAGTCCCTGCATGGACCAGAGACAGGGGCAAAAATGGTATGACGTCTACACTCCTCCCTGGGCCCCATAAAAATCAAGACTAGAACCCACTTATTACCACCCCCCAATGATAACGCCCTCCGAAATAAGCACAGCAACATGTTCCACCAAGCAGGGGCCGCATGGCCACCTGTGAACAGGCAGGTCAGAGGCTCAGAAAGGTCAATACACTTGGTCAAAGCCCCGCAAGTGTCCACCCTGAGAACTGCTCTCAAATGTCTGCCCTCAGAGGAGAAACCTAACCTGCTTTTAGAGCCTCCCAGGCCCAAACATCCACTAATAGGGAACCGGCAAGTGACATCTGGGACCTCCCTATTAAAAGAATAAGGTATAATTCTTAACTGCCTTGGAATACTGACATGGAAAAATCTCAGAGTCATGGTGCTAAGTGGAAAAAAAAAAAAAAGCTTCCTGAAAAGTTCAAATTTCTCTAGGATGGGTCCCGTTCCCTGGATTCTACCTCTTGGTAGCTCTCAAGTCCACTGCCTTTTTCTTCTCTGAGCCTTAGCCTTAGGGCAGGGTCCTGGTCTCTTGCTTTAACTGTTTAAGCTGCCTCCTAACAGGTGACAAGGACTCAAGTCTCACCACGGTCCAGTTCTTGGCTCCTCTAGCGACAGAGGAAATTTTTTTAACGTACATTTAGTTAGCCATTTCCTCGCTAAAAACCCCTCCATGACCCCTCACTAACTAATAACAGTGTTAACATTATTTTTCAAGTGCTTCCTGTGTTAATTGCCTATATGTAATCTGTCCTTCAATACTCATAACCTTCTGCAGTGGATCCTCTTATAATCTCCATTTTACAGATGAGGCTAAGAGGTTATTCACAAAGCTGAGAAGCAGCACCCCACCTTGGAGGATCATGGGCCCCAACACCTGGGAACTTGTTAGAAAGAGTAATTCTTGGGCCCCATCCAGACCTACTGAATAAGGAAGTCTGGAGCGGGGCCTGGGAACAAGCCCCCCAGGTGGTTCTGACACTCACTCAGGTTTGCGAACCCTGCACACTATACTTCTTGCAGTTTCCTAAAGATAAAATACTCTCTCATTCAAGTCATCCCTCTAGATGAGCTCAATGTCCCTTCTCTACGAAGCCTTGTGGAACTCCCCAGTCTGTGGAGAGCTCCCTTCTTTGGGTCCCCTTATCATGCCCCATCACAGTCTCTGTCAGGCTGCCTGTACTTGTCCCCAGTGCCATGCTCCCTAAGGCTAGGAAGAGCATCTTATTCATCTCTCTACCTTCCGCACCTGGAATATAGCAGGCACTCAAAAACTGCTCCTAGAAGGAACAAATAAGTGACTAATCAAAGTTACAGAGTGGAGGGGGAGAGGGGTGAAGGGGGAAGAGGGAGGGGATGCAGAACTAACCTCCCAGAGCATTTCTAGCAGTTTTTCCACCCTGGAGCTGATCAAGGCCGTTTACTTTGACCACTCCTCCCAGGCCTTCTCAGAATGGCGCTAGCTTCTGAGGGTACATGGACAAGTTTTTGGTGTGTGTGGGTAGGGGGTCAGCGTGGGGGGGGGGTTCCCCGGGCAGAGCATAGTGACTCATGTGAGCCTTCTACCCTGGACCTCCCCAAACTTTGGGGAGGTACCTGCTTTCTCGGGGGCTTCAGAAAATAATCTTGTCCTGCCCATGGTCCGAAGAGAGGCCGCCCATGCCAGATAGCACCACCTGCCCCCATTCCCAACCCCTGCCCTTGTACCTCACTCTTAGCAGGGGACTCGGGCGTGCTTGGCTTCCGGACAGCCACAGGTGGAGGCAGGGGGTTGCTGGCCAGGGTTGCAATCACCTGGCCCTGGGCGTTTAACAGCAGCTGGGGAGTCACAGCCTGGACCTGCAGGCTTTGGGCTGGTGCTGGTGCTGCCACGCTAGCTGAGTTCACTACCCACGGAAGTGTTCCAATAACCTGGGAGGAAACAAGGCAGGGACTCTAAGTGTGAGGCCAGTGTCTAGCTCCACCTCCAACCCAAACCCCACACTGGTAGGGGAGGCATTTAGATGAATCACTTAACCCCTATGGACCTCCGTTTCTTCCTCAATAAAGTGAAGGATTCACAGTCTGGGGGCTGCTTCCTTTGTTTTACCTCCAGAGCTGTGATGGAGCAGGAATGGGTCTGCATGTGGAGTCAGATGGACCTGCTCTGCCACAGTTTAGCTGTGGCTTAATTTCTCTGAACCTCAGCTTTCGTCCCTGTAAAATGGGAATAAAAATCTCTCCCTAATAGATCTGTACTCAAAACAAAGTGAGCTGGTGTATGAGAAAGCACCTAGCACAGGCCACGAAGTAGGTCCTCCATAAATGAAGTGGGTGTTCGCCTCCACTAGAGTGGGTGCCTCCAGGGCAAGGCAGTGGCTATGCCCCTGCCTGCTCTCAGGATCAGCAGGGAGCGGCCACACAGGAGATAGGAACAGCAGTCCGACACCCTGTTTGAGTTTCTATGACCCTCAGCCCAAGTCCTAGTGCCCCCGCCAGCTTGTCCCCAGCCCCCATCCCTCAGCCCTGGCTGTGACCACTTGCCTGTCCCTGAGCATTGGTGAGGATCTGACTGCTGATCCCTGGCATGCTGGGAATGGCGTTGGCAATGACCGGAGTTGTCGTGAGGGAGCCCAGGATCTGGGTCTGTCCCCCGAGGGAAGCAGCACTGATCTGTGGGTGGAGGAAGAGCCTTGCTCAGAGACCAAGGGGACAGAAAAAGCCCAAGGCAGAGGGAAGAGGGCTCACAGGCATTGGGGTGGGGAGGTAGGGATGTGGGGCAGATAGGAATGTGGGCTACAGGCCCATGTCTACCAGCTGAATAGTATCCAGCACTATGGGTGGCGGGGGGTCAACCAGGAAGGGTGGGGTCAAAGCCATGGAAGAGTAACTGGCTAATCTTTCAGGCCAGGCCTGGGAGGGTAGAAGCGCCAGACTGGAGTGGCTGATGTGATTCTAGTCACATCTAACAGCTCCACTGCCAAGCCAGGACAGACACTGGCAAGGGGCCGTGAGCCTCTAGCTCCACCTTAGTGACAGCTCACAAGTTTGCAATCCCCAGACATCATCCCACCCTCCAAGGCTGGCCCAGTGGCTCAGGTTCTGGAGAATTTGCCCAGCCCTCTTGGCAGAGGTTGTCTGCTCTTGTCTGGGATGGACAGGCTGGCAGCTGCAAGGAGAAGGCTTCAGAGGGAGCCCGTCTCCGCTGACGTGTTGGAAGACAGCTGTATTCAGGGGCCTGGTCCTCCACCTCTTTCCTCCCCGCATCAGTTCCACCCGGGCCCAAGATTCGATCCAGCCCGGATCAGCCCCAGGTGAGGGCAGCAGCAGCTTACGATTCCTGGGCTAAATGCGAAGCTGGCAGGCTGTAGGGTGATCTGTGGGGGGGTGTCCACTGGCTTGGGGGCGGGGGCGGTAGCGGTGGCAGCAGTGGGCTGCGGTAGAATGGCGGGCGTGTTCTGCAGCAGCGGCGGGGGCGGGGTCTGGAACAGCGTCTGGGCCTGTGCTGGTGGCCGGGGCTGGACGGGCGAGGAGGCCTGTACCGGTGGGGCAGCTTGTACGGGTGCCGGCAGAGCGGTGTTCAGCACGGCCGCTGCTACGGAGCAAGGCAGAGACAGAGGTGCTCAAATGCCTAGCCGTAGCCCAGAGCAGCTCCAATCCCAAGGGATCTGGCACAAGAACAGAGGGGGCTGGGGCAGCAGGGAAGGGGGGCAGGCAGCTGTGATTCCCTTGATTCTTGCTGGGGGCAGCACACGCCCACTTCTCTCATCCCCCCTCCCTTGGGCCTGGAGAAGTGCAGGTTCAAAACCAGAAGTTGCATCTTCTTGCAGTCCTTCTCAGGAGGCTGGCCATGGGGTGACTTCTGGCGTGGGGGGAGAGGGGCAGTCTCAGACAGTTGGCTGAAGTAAGAGAGGCCGGATGGTGTCCTGGCCTAGAGTCCCGAGGTGCTGCAGCTCTGTGGCTGGGTGCCTGGGACACCGGATCCAGACTCCAGGGCTGTCGCCCTGGGCGGGCTGCGGGTTCTGAGTCCGACATGGCAAGCGCTCGTGCAGGAATGGTAGTGGTGGGTGTTGGGGGGCCTGGTGCAGTCCTGGGGAGAGTTGCCGTTACCTTGGAGACTGGCTAAAGGTGGCTTGAAAATTCCCCCCGTAGGAGAAGCAGCGGTCAGTCCTGGGAGGGCGGCCACGGTTGCTGTAGGAATTGTCCACACGGCCAGCCCCTGCTGACCAGCCACTTGACCTGCAATACTGATGGGGATAAGAAGAGGTTGAGTAACTGCCCCTGCTGGAACCATAACTCCTGTCAGAACTGTGGCTAAGTTTTCCTGAGTCAAGACCTGCAAAAGCAAACAAGATTTCAAAAAGAAAAGAAAAAATAAAAAAAAAAATCAACATCGACAGCGCAAACACTGGGTCTCTCTGACCCAGCTGAGCACAAACAAAGCATTCTGAGGGCAGTGGGGGAAAGGCCGCATGAGGACGGGGAAGAGACAAGCCCTAGCTGGAGGCTCAACCTTGAGTGGGGTGCCCGTCTTCAGAGAAGCAGCCCAAATCGAGGTCAGGACCTGGCCTTGCTCACAGGACAGCAGAGGGTGCACGGGCCTCTTCCACTGGACTGCTGTCCCCCAGCCTTCCCTGGGCCCTTGCCCACAGGACCAATACTTTGTGGCCAGAGAGCAGGGGGCAAGGGCTAATGGAACCAAGTGGTCAAGGGCTCACAGAAGCTTCTGAGAAGCTCTGATGGAGGCTACCCTGGACGGATGCCTCAAAAATCTGTGCCTATAGCGAAAGGTCACAGGGAGTTCAGCATGCCTGGAGGATCCTGGAGGCAGCCCGCTGTGCTGGGGCTGCCCCCCTGGCTCTAAATGAGGACTGTGAACAATGCATTAACTCTTCCAGGCAGCCACTGGAGGGACGGACAGGGTATTCACTCATTTAGTCATTGAACAGAATGGCCTGTGCCATGAAGGAGTTAACGTAATCTCTACCATCCTTGCTGGACCCAAGGAGACTACCTAGCAAAGGCAGATCTACTCTTCCCAGTGGGCCTGATCTGGGGCAGGGGAGAGGCCAGGGGTGCCTAGTAGGGGACTCCCTCTCTTAAGTCACAGCCCCGTCCCTGTCCTGCCTCGTGAGTTTCCAGATCCCATAGCCTCTCCATGGTGGTGGTCCCATGTCTTGCTTCTGCCCACTGCTCTGTGTCCAGCTCCCAGGGGTGGCTCTTACCTGGGGGGCAGCTTGTATAGCCAGCGGCGTCAGGGTCTGCGATGCCTGAGGCTGGCTTGGGGGTTGGCTGAAAGTGGCGACAGCCGGGGCAGGACTCGAAGGGATCCCCGGGAGTGACTTCACTTCATGTGGCATTGAGAGAAAGGACAAAGGGTGAGCCTGGTGTGAGCAGAGGGGTCACTGGACTACAATGTCCTGTCTGCAGCTTGAAGTGGCAACTCTCAGCCTCACATCGTATTTCCGCATAACCCGAGACCAATCACTGGCTTTCCCTGGCCCAGAAGGCAGCTTCCCCAATGCTACCGTTAGTGAGACTAGGAGGCTGGACAGCCCTGTGCCAGACCTAGCATGTGGGCCCTCTTCTTCCCACATTTAGATGAAGAAAACGCAGGCCTATGCACAGCTAGGTGTCAATCTCTCATTTCCTGGCTCTACAGAACACTGTGACCTATGACCTAATCAGTCGAGGGGTCTGAAGGGAAGAAACATGGTGTCTGGGCGGGAAGGAGCTAGAGAGCATCAATGGGAGCAGCTCCCCCTGGCTCATCCAGCAACCGGACCATCGCTCAACCCGCCTGCAGTCTACTTTCTGGATGCAGGTGCTGGCTTGGAGAAGCAACAAGGACTCTGAAGAATGAAGTCCTTGAAATGACAGTCCCTGAAAATTGGACATGTCTTTGCCACACTTAGGGTCACAATGGCGCTCCAGGCCAGGTAGCTTTTTTTGTTTGTTTGCTAATCCTCACCCGAGGATATTTTTCCATTGAATTTTAGAGAGAGTGGGAAGAAGGGGGGAGAGACAGAGAGAGAAACATCGATGTGAGAGAGACACATCGATTGGTTGTCTCCCACACTCGCTCCAACCAGGGCCAGGTATAGAGCCCGCAACCCAGTCACATGCCCTTGATCAGAATTGAAACCGGGACCCTTCAGTCCGAGGGCCGACGTTCTATCCACTGAGCAAAACCGGCGAGAGCCAGGCCAGGTTGCTTTTCTCTGCCAGTCCCTGAGGTCTGAAGTCTGATGAGCAGCTTCAGTGAGTTTCTAAGGGAACTTCCCGTGAACCAAAGCTTTTCTTCCAGGTTACAGCTTCCTCTTGCTACCCTGATTTGTGAGGTATTGGGAATCCCCACCAAGAATTCACACAACGAGGAAAAGGGTTATTATTTCATATACTAGAGGCCCAGTGCACGGATTCGTGTACTGGTGGTGTCCCTCAGCCTGGCCTGTGCCCTCTTGCAATCTGGGACCCCTCAGGGGAGGTCAGACTGCCGGTTTTGGCCCAATCCCCGTAGGCGGCCTGTGGGGATCGGGCCGGAACCGGCAGTCTAACCTCCCCTGAGGGATGTAGTAGTGCTCGAAGTGGCTCGTGCCCAGTCCCGATCAGGAGAGGCTTCAGACTGCCGGTTTTGGCCCAATCCCCGTAGGCGGCCAGTGGGGATCAGGCCGAAACTGGCAGTCTAACTCCCCTGAGGGATGTAGTAGTGCTCGGGGAGGAGCCCAAGCCCGGGCCTGGTGCCACACCGCTCCCGCTCATCCTGCCCCCACTGTGCCTGCCGCGGGCTCGTGCCCAGACCCGATCAGGAGAGGCTCGCACCACCGCAGTGTCACTCGCCAGCTGTGAGCCCAGCATCTGGTGTCCATCGCTTACCTGAGCGGCGCTCCCTCTGTGGGAGTGCACTGACTACCAGGGGGCAGCTCCTGCGTTGAGCATCTGCCCCCTGGTGGTCAGTGCGCATCATAGCAACTGGTCGACCGGTCGTTTGGTCATTCAGTCAACCGATCGCTTAGGCTTTTATATATATAGATGGCGAGACATTAAAAGGAGTCTAGGTATTGGACGATGGATATTAGACCAGGTCAATGGCCTCTTAATACTAGCTGGACATGGATTTCCTGAATCAGAATGTCTGGAGTGGAGGCCAGTAACCTCTTCTCTTTTTCTTACTTTTAATTTTTTAACTATAGTTGGCATTCAATATTATATTAGTTTCAAGTGTATATCATAGTGATTAGACACTTTTATAACCTATGAAGTAATCACCCCTAGAGGTCTAGTGCCCCTCTGACATCATACTCAGTTATTACATTATTATTGACTATATTCCCTATGCTGTACTTTACATCCCGTGACTATGTGCCTAACTGGCAATTTGCACTATTTAATCTCTTTTTTCTTTAAGCTCCCTTGTGATACAGCACACAGCCAGAGTGGGAACCATGCAGTTAGATAACCTCCCATACCCGCATTCCCAGCCCATGTTTTAATCTGGAAAGGCACCGATCTAACTCAGGACTGTACTGTTCAAAGTGCATAATAAAGAAATTCAGATTGCTTAAGGAATTAAAGAGACAAGCAAGCAGCAACAAAAGCCTTATAAAATACTAAGTGGCGGGGCGGGGGGCGGGGAACTAAGTGAAAACACTTAGTATTTCACTCCA